AATGAACAACGTAGCAGCGCCGCATCTAGTGGCTTCAACTGGATAAGCTAACAAAAGCATTCAAATGCAATCAATACATCGTCATCGCATCTCGTGTGCCACTGATAAGGCTTTTTGACGACTAACGCAGACCTTAAATTCGAATGCAATGCTTTTGCATTCGAATGCGTTTTTTTTTTTTTTGTCAAATATTCGAAATTAGAAAAACATTTTGACAGCCCTACAGTAGACCAATGATTGATGGCAACGATTGATCATGAAAACACAATCTAACTCTTTTTGTTTTTGTTTGTTGTTCATCAGACACCAATTTGCATCAACAATTTCACACTAACGTTTGCGGTCAGCACTCTGAAGATGATTAGATTTAGGTTGCAAATGAATTAAACTGAAGGTCTTGATGTTGTTTGAGACGACAATTGCTGAAATGTGTATACTGTATTCTCATGGTAATGAATTGCATTACAAAAACAGGTTGAAAAGAGTGGTGTCCTCTTAAAAACAAGTATAATAACGTTTTTCAAATAACAAAAAGAACCATTAATATTTAAGTACAATAAGACAAAACATAATAAAAATGTAAAATAAAACAAATGTTTGATTAAAGTGCAAAAGAACACAACTATAAAGAACAGTAACTCGTATCTAGATATCTTTTTTTCTGGACTGACATGTTTTAGTCCAAATTAAAATGTGTAAGCAAATGTTTAGAATTAAATATTACATCTTTAAGTTTTAGGTGTTGTTTGATAAGCAGCAATATAGAATAAAGGGAATAAAGAAATGCAAGTACTGTTTGACTTCCCTTCTTCTCCATGACAGGTGTGTGTCCGAAATAGAAGATTGTGCAGCACCACAACCAGTTTTTTAACCAGTTGACAGAGAAAAAAACCCGAATGTGCACTCTAAAAATACAAATACCAGTACCAGTGTATTGTATTACCAAAAACTGGCACATGTCTGTTGAGTCACATTGTTTTTAACTTTTTCACTTGACACAGTTTTGTAAAATGTGGCCTTCATGACTCGAGACATTCAAATGCAATGTCTAGAGACTTCCATCTGATGCATGTTTAGAGCACCAACAGTTTAACAAACTGCAAAATACCAAAAATCATTTCTGAGGTCATTTCGCAGGTTTGATGAAACTTTAGAAAGATGAACCTTTTTTGTGGGAAGAATTTCCTTTAATTAAACAATGCACAGTAAGACCAAAAATGTAAGAGGTGTCAGTTTTGCTTTAATGTTGACAATAACTATATTGTATTGTGTGAATGCTAATCATACAGGTTTTTAATTTCAGTACTGTTTTTTTTGCATGTGGCTTTTAGTCAAGACCGTTTTGTACCAGCATGTCTTACTGGAGTAAAATTTCTATGATGGTAATATACTTTGGACAGTGGTGCGAGTTACCCACGTCTGATGTTTTTACTATCCTGAATGATTCATTCATCTTATCAGCTCATTCAACACTGTGCCCAAACCATGAGAGGCGTAACCATGGTAGTGCTACTGGATCAGCCAGCCTTTATTTGGCTTTGAGTGAGAGAGGGAGTAGTGTGTGTGTGTGCGTTTGAGTTTGAGAGAGAGAGACAGAACGATACAGTGTCATCCTAGTAGGAGTATTGCACAGCTCCTGTGGTTTAGATGGCACACAGCCTTTAAATAAATGATGGAAGTCCTACTTCTTCAGCCAAATGACTCCAGCTGAGAGCTTACCGGCCATCCTGACTGATGCTGGAAGAACTTTTTCATGCTGCTAATTTACCTCCAGGGGTATTGATTAGAGCAGACCAGTCTACCTTTTAAGAAAGTACATCCTTAGTCTTCAGATACAATCAATCTTAGAAGACAGAGTTGATTCAATTTGTGGTGCGATTAGCTGTAATCTAAGAGTCTCTTTCTGGAACTCTCGCAGTAGGTGTGGAGCATGTGGGCCAGCTGCTGCGGCTGGCTCTGTCTGGATGATTCCACCATGGACGACACCAGAAGTAACACCCGTCATCAGGCCTTCAGCAACTCTGGCTTCAGCAGTTACCCGTCTACCCGTCTCCCAGAACACACGTGCAAGGCCTGTGGAGGTCGCTTCGACAGCCTAGCCAGAAAGGTAATCAGTTTTATACTTTTATACTAATAAAATTATTATGGCAAAAGCTTGTGAATAGCAGTTTCCCAAGGTTTGGAGTACTGTTGTCAAAAGTACCGGTACTTTGGTAGCAAATCAACACTTAAATTTTTAAAACGTAGTGATGCCATCCTTTCGACAGTACCGGTAGTACTGAGTACAGACAGGCGACTGCTTTCAAACGCTCCCGTATTTGTGTGAGTGTTTGTACTGTGAAGAGCGTCAAAGGTTTCAACTGTCTTCAAAAAGTTTAGATGGTATTTTCTTTTCATCTTGTCTCCGTATGATGCACATTAAAGTAGTGTTTATAATCGCAGCGCTGCTTTGTTTACAGCGTTAACCATGGAAAGGATGTATTACTGCTGTTCCAAAAGCGCCCCCTGCTGTCAGAGAGTGAATCTGCGTCTCATTCAGCCCGTCTGCTCTTTCTGTTTCATGCAGATGTGTTTTATCAGGGCTTGAATTTCGGCGCGGGATTGTGCATAATTCTACTGATTCCCGCAGTTTCCGCACTTGTAATGTGGGAAATTCCCACAAATGTTTCAGCGTGAAAGACGCTCGGGACAGATGACGGAATGTATCATTTGCAGATAGATAGATAGATAGATAGATATTCGGTTTTTGTGGTATTGCTGTAACTGAATATTATTGTTATACCTATCTGAAAAAAGTAATTAACAGTTAATTTTTGTTGTATCATGTTGTTGTATTTGTTTGTGCCATTGCTTGTCATTTATCTATTCTTATTTTATTACTGACTGTTTACTTACTTGTCACAATCTCCTCATCACAGGCAGGCACAGCACTCATGTTCCTGTTTGTGTGTGCTGTCTGCGTCACTCATAGCACGTGCCTATATCGTGCACTATATCGAACATTTTTTATATCGTTATCGAAGAAGGTGTACCGTCGATAAATATCGATACCGTTTTTTCGCCCAGGCCTGCTTTATTTATATAGTGCTTTATACAATACAGATTGTGTTAAAGCAGCTTTACAGTGTCAAACAGGAACAACGTGTGAGGACAATAGAAAACAGTCAGTTTATCAGTTAAAGTCAGTTCATTGATGATTCAGTGAGGGCATCGTCCAGCTCACTTCAGTTCTCTTTATATAATGTCTGTGCAGTCAAGTCAACAATGTTGCCAGAAATTGTGTCCCCAGCTAAGCAAGCCAAAGGCGACAGTGGCAAGGAACCAAAACTCCATCGGTGACTGAACTGGAGAAAAAAAAAAACCTTGGGAGAAACCAGGCTCAGTCGGGGGCCCAGTTCTCCTCTGGCCAGACCAAACCAGCATGGTGTGGTTTAATTCCACGCTGCAACACAGGCAAACACAGACCAACAAGTAAAGAGTCCACAGAGTAATATGAATACTCTGTGGACTCATTACTTCAGTATTACTGCGTCACTGCATCTGTGTTGATGCAACCGTTCAGCTAAACATTGCTGAAGAACTTCATTGCTTGGCTGAATAATTATTATTTGTTCTAAATAAATTTATTATGTTTTTGTTGTTCTGAGTTTAGTTAATGAAACCTTGCCAGGTATATGTAGCAACTGTGTTATAAAAGTAATAAGCCCTGTGAAAAGCTGTACACAAATCATTTACCACATCCTTTGCACTTTTCTGTGGAGCATTAAAGAAGATATTTACACTGTGTGTAGTATTGTATTTGCCCAAAAATATTGAAAGCATTCTTTAAAGTGTCTTATTTTAGGTTGCACAGAAGAAATTAAGTCATAAAGGTTTAGAACAACAAGAAGGTAAACGATGACATAATGTTCATTTTCAGATGAACTTTTATCCTGTTAGCACACATAAATTCCACTGATTATATAGTGTATGAAAGTCTATTAGTAATAAAATTTGAAGTTGAATCCAATTGCAACACACTAAAGCAAACCTGTGAACAGGTCTAGATGTTCACATGTAAAGGTTGAGTTTATTCCAGTTCTAACTGGCCGTGTTGCTGAGGATCATAAGGCTGTGCTCAAGTAGTTTCACTGTACATTCCCCCGTGTTGAATGTTATTAAAAATCACAAACTGTCTTAACTTACTGAGGACCTTTTGCCAGTGAATTAGAATTTGCTAGACACACAAAATCTCCTACACCTTGTGAGCCGCTTACTAAGGCAGCATTTTAAAGCACTGTAGGGCCTTTCTGACCTGAATACACTTTAAAACCAAAGACAGCCAGAGAGAACTCTAAAAGTCCAATATGTTTTTGATATTTTGGAGCAAAGCATCTGCTAAATGTAAAATAATGCTGAACTTTAAATTCTAGGCAGTGCTATCAAATATGTGATCAAAAATACATTTGTTAATGTGTATTGCACTTATTGGAGCCTTCTGGAGACCTCTTGATGCATTGCATTTAACATCATCCTCATGTCGCTGAGCCACCATTATTAACATTATCAAGCTGCCATACATCCAGGAGTCATAGTGTGAGTGTCTGCATCCAGCGTGACTACCTGCCCGCCTCACGAGGAGAATTATCCAGAATGCACTTTGTAAACTGTGGCTCGAATGACAGAATGATGATGCATATCGATGTCACAGCCATTGTACCGCTTCCTTACTGTAGTGCTGCTGTTGTCATGTCACGTTCATGGCATTCCTGCACACACACCTTACATAAGGGCAGAGTCACATTGGGTTCTGGTTTCCTGAACAGATTTGTTTTAAGATATCGGATTGGAAGTTTTTTGATGTTTGAATGCATATTAGTGGGTAGGACATCTACAAAGCACATCCAGTATTGTTATCTGAATAGAGCTCAATAGTGACCACCCAGCTTTTCAGCAGAAGCTTATTCTTACGTCAATGTATTTCACAAAGTTTCCAAGCCTTAAACCAAACAAACTAGTTCCATGATTAATTAATATTACAGCAATTGATTTGAAGACAAAGTATTTGAAAATCAGCTAAATGAATTAACTATTCATCCCATGACTCATTATTAGCCATTAACCAAACCAACCAGCTACAAGGTGAATCACAGCATTACAAACTTTGATTTGAAGCAAAGATGTCAAAATTGGACAAGATGGAGGTTCAACACTGTTCTTAATGGCTTTAATGACATAAAATAAAAACCGAGAAATCTAAAACTATTGATTTAAAGATGTTAATTATGTATTTTAAATGTATTCCAAATTATACATATACATTTAAGTAGGGAGACTCTGTCATTCACAGTATTTATTGGGAGTTGTCGAAGGCGTTTTGTTTTTTGTGATTTACTCGATTGTTGGAGATTTCTTTGCGGAATCATGGGCAATGTAGTTTTCACTAGCTATAATAAATGTGGCCTCATGGCTTCTGAAATGATGTAGCTTCATTGCTTCAACAATACCATTGATTAACAACCTTGGAACTCACAGTAGGTTTGTCTTTAATGCTGTAGGTTATCATTAAAAATCAGTTCCCCTATTGTTGAAAAAAATGAATGGCATTTGTTTTACTTCCAGAACCCAACTATTGCACACAGGAGGATTTCACTTTAAA